GTGCATATAATATTTTATGTGACTCACTACCAGGAATTACAGTAATAGAGGTCATCATTTTTCTATTAGCCTTGTATTTCAGTAGCAAAATGACTACAGCAAGAGTAAAAAGGAAGGAAATAAGGATAGATAAGGAATCTTTGCAAATTAAATGAATTTTATGGTGAATATAATATTTTAGAGAGACCTGTGTAAAAGGTAAGCAAAATATTGAGGCAGCAGTCTTTAGCAGAGGAGCAATTCAAGGGGAGAGTCTGATTAGGAGGATGGTAAGGATCAGTGTAAGCTCATGAAAACAGGAGAAGTTAAGGTACTATATTCAAGAGAAATTAGACAAATCAGCCAGACACTGTAGAGAGAGCCACAAAAGAAGAAAAAGGACAGAATTGGGGAAAGAATTGCATTCTTTTGACCATAAAAGTGAGAGGATCCAAACACATCATAGAAAAACTACAAGTAGAGTTGCAGTCAGTAGGCACGTGCACGTGCTAGTTCTGGTTGCTCAGGCAACAGAAGCCCTTTCCTCATGTTAATGACAGTATCATGAGGAAAACCACATGCAGATGCAGTACAGAATAATTAAAGGTGAAGTCACACCTGGTCCAGAGAGCTTCTTCCTTTGGGGAATGCTAAGCAGGAATTTGGGTGAGATTTATGTGAGAGGTTGTGAAGCTGTGAAGCGGATAAACTTGATTTTTGTGTGAAAGCAGAAAGCTGAACCTTCTGTAGAGTGCCTGACCATGGGGTATGAACAATGTGTCTAATTCTCCATATTGTTTCTTGATGCACTGTGTAAGTTCACCTGGGGATGGGGAAATCCAGACAGCTGGGGCTTGGTTGGCTTTTTACTCAGGAAGCAGAAACATACTGATTTTAGAGGCAAGAGGAAAAACTACAATCTGCGAAGATCACCCTGCCCTTCTTAAAATACGTAATTTTTTAAAAAACCCAGTTGTCCTGCTTCCCAAATTATGGAAAAATTCTAATTTTGTGTTTAGCATTTGAACATTTAAAAATATTGTTAATATTGTGAAAGGATTATCTCCATATATTATCTTTGATATTTGAAAACACTTTCTAGTATTTTTTCATATGTTAAAAAATAAATTAAATGAGATAATATTTTACTTTTTAAGCAGTTTCTTTGTCAGTGATTGAAGGAGAAGAAAAAATGCTTAATATTTAGAGCATGTTTCACAACTTGAATGTGCTTAAGAATCACCTGGAGATCTTATTAAATTCCAAATTCTGCTACTTTGAGGTGGGAACCTGCCATTCTGCATTTCTAATAGCTCCCAGATAATGCTGTTGCTGCTGGTCCAAGGACCTCACTTTGAGTAGCAACATTTTAATTGATGATAATAGTTACCAGATCTATAAATGGTAATTTGGTAGTTAAATATTGATCAAACATAATATTTTTGTTTCATCAACTCTTTTCATTTGTGGAAACAACTTTTGTCAGATTTATTTTCCTTTGATAAATTATACAAGTAATACATTGTTATTTGAAAAATTTAGAACTTATAGAAATATATAGAGTAAAAGTCCATTTTCATTTTTCATTGAAACCTTTTCTCTTCTCTAAAATAAAAGTCCATATTCATTCTTCATTGAAACCTTTTTTCTTTTCTAATTTCTCTTCTCTGTGGATAATATTTTGGTATGATAAGAATGTATATATGTGTGTATACATATACATACACACATACAAATAGATGAGAGTACTCTATGTATTCTCTCATAGAGAGTACTCAAAGTATTCTCTGTGAATACTTTGGTATTCATAGAGAACTTTTACAATGCATTTAGAAGTAGATTCACACACATGTGCACACATCTATGCATATAAAATAGAAAAGAGGATCACATTATATGTAATTTTTTACATGTGCTTTTAAAAAATTTAATAACCTCAAATTGATATTTTTTCCATGTCAATATTTATTTAATTTTGTGACTGCATACTATTCCATCCTATTGATTTAGGTTATTTCCACTGGTCACTTTTAGAAATAAAAATCGTTTTTACATGTACTTTTACACATATGTGAGTATTTCAGTAGGCTAATGGTTATGTTAAAGTTGATTTTTAATTTGACTGGTAATGCCAAATTAATTTTCAACATAGTGGAGTAGAAAGCTATTTTCTTTCTTCCTCATTAAACATTAAATATCAGAGCGCTTTTAAATTTTTTGTAAACTTTAGAAATGTTTGTTGTTATTTCTAAATTGCATTTCCATGATTGTGAGCTGGAACATTTTTCCATAAATGTACTTGCTTTTTTTTATTCTTTTGAAAATTGCTTATAGACAATATTTCCATTTTTATTTCTATAGAGTTGTTTATTTTTCATGTTGATTGATGGGAACTCTTTGTATGTGATGGATGTCAACCCTTTGTCCAATACATGTATTCACACATACATATTTTTGCCAGAGGCAGTGTAGCCTGCTCATAAGTGAGTGGAGAGCATTGGCTCTGGGTTTGCATCTTGGTTTCACCATTTTGCAGCTATGTGACCTTTGACAGGCTATTTAACTTCCCTGTAGTTCTGTTTCCTCAACTGTGTAAAGTGTACATGGAATAACAATGGTATGTACCACATATTTAAGCACCATTTATTTATTCCTTTCCTACTCATATAAGTGCTATCTGTATTACAATATTTCTGGCTGTTCTTACGCATTTACTCTTAGAGGCAACATTTTGAATCACTAGAATAGCTTCATTTAAAATTACCCTTAGAGTTTGAACAGGAATAATGCTGAAAAGGTAGATTAATTTAAGAAAAAAATTTAACACTTATCAATTTGAGGCTGCCCATTTCAAGCCATGTTACTCACTTTCTTATGTTTAGGTTTATTTTTCTGACCTTAAATGTGACTTTTTAATAACTAAGATTTTATGGGGAAACAGATATTATGCTTTTGTTGTATTTTGAATGAAATCTTTTTACTGATGTCTCGTCATTATATTGAAAAGTCTATGTTTTTTGTATATGTTATTTCTAGACACTTTGCAAATCTCTTCTATTTATTGAATGTGTTTTTATTTCATTATTTTCAATTTTAATGTGAAAGGATTGAATTTTTTTTTAGTATTTATCAATGTTTTGGTATCTTTTTTATAGGACCCTCAGGTGTATTTTGAATAATGAGAATTTTGTGACATTATTGCCTTGTGTCTGATTTTAATAGGAATAAGTCTAACATTTTATTATTGGTATTTGAAAGTTTTCTTGAAGATGATCTGTCAAATTCAGGAAATGTCCTCTTTTACCCAACTCCCTGAGAGTTTGTAATTTTTTTGGTAGGGGTGGCTAATACAGTCTGTCAAATACTTTTCCAACAACTGTTGAGGTGGTATATGGTTTGCTTATTTATTCTTTTAATACAATGCTTTAAGCATTCATGCATTTCCTATTACTACAACATTCTTGTATTCCTGAAATAGACCTTCCTCGATTGCTATGCATTATTAATACTTTAACATGTTGCTACAGTAAATTTGAAAATATTTTATTCATTATTTTTATTCGCATTGCACTTGATGTCTATTCTCTTTACTGCTGCTATCTTTATTGGGCATATTATCAGCATTCTTCAAGCCCCATGTAATTATTTAGGAAGGTTTTCATCTTTTTAGTGTTCTGGAATGGATTATAAATATCAAAGGGATTATTTATTCATTAAAATTTTGACAGAAATCCCTCCCTAGAAACCAGTAAGGCTTGCTGTCAAATTAGGGAATATGGGGGTGCAAAGCCTAGATCTTTGACTTTCATCTCAAGTTCTTCAATAATGTTAATTTTCTAGGCTGTGCACAGTGGCTCACTCCTGTAATCCTAGCACTTTGGGAGGCCAAGGCAGGCGGATCACCTGAGGTCAGGAGTTCAAGACCAGCCTTGCTAACATAGCAAAACTCCATCTCTACTAAAAATACAAAAAAGTTAGCAGGGCATGGTGGTGGGCACCTGTAGTCCCAACTACTCAGGAGGCTGAGGCACAAAAATTGCTTGAATCCAGGTGGTGGAGGTTGCAGTGAGCCGAGATCATGCCACTGCACTCTAGCCTGGGTGACAGAGCAAGGCTCTGTCTCAAAAATAATAATGTTGATTTTCTAATTTAAAGTATGTTTAAAATCAATAAGCAAACATTCAAAAGCACTTATGTGACTCTCCTAAATCTTCATTATTTAAATAGTTTTCCATTGTACTTGAAAAGATTTGAAGTCATATCCTTTCTCTCCGAAAGGTCAGTACAATGTTATATACATTCTAACTTCATAGTACAACTATTTGGAATAAGCTTTTCTTCAGCGATGCATCATCATAAAGGAGCTCTGATTTGTTTAGGTATTTTAAATGGTATCAAAATATCTTTTCATTTGAGAACCTCCCCCATATACTCAGGAAAGCTCACCTATTAGAAACCCGAGTGTTAAGTATTTGCAAACATTCTGTAATGTTTAATTATAAAAAACATAAAATAATAAACACAGACAAACATTATTTTGGAGAGCCCTATCATCTTCACCTACTCAGGTCATTCACAATCACTGGAGAGGAGGCAGAATTTTGTCTCTGGGGCAGTAGACACTTGACCCAGAATTCTCTACAGATTCCCTCCAAGGAGCCCTTCCCATTGGCTCTTTCCTAATCATTTCATGTTTTTTCAGTTTCCTCAGTTAAATCCTTGGTCTTAGCAAGAGTCTTTATTCCCCTATTATAGTTATCACCCTAACTACAGACAAGAAAAAAAAACTACCACTTAACGTCAGTCAACTATTGCAGCTATAATGCTACCTCACAGATTCACCCACAAGTTTAGTGGTTACAATAATCAGCATCTACTCTCATACTTGGGTTCCTGAGTTGACTGCTACTCACTAATTTACAATATGCTTGATTGGGCATCTCCATTTCCATATTTATGTTCCAAGACTGAAGCTCTTCTTGGCTGTGATGGGTTTCAGTTCACTCCATGTTTCCTTCCAGGGCCTAGACAGAAGGAGAAGACATAGCAGCCCCTGGGACATGTTTGTCTCATGGATGATCACAATTGCCAAGAAGAAAAGCCAACATACAGGTTATGCCATGTCTGCTAACAACTTCTTTTCCAAAGCAAGATCTAGAAGGCGTGGGGCAGTCCACTCAGTCCATGAGGCAGAGGTATGCATTTATAATTTAATTAAGAGAAAATGAAGAATTGGGGTGAATTTTTAAAATCTATGATGCCCCTGAGAGTATTTCCTTTCTCGCCTCTCTTTGCTCTGCCCATGCTTCTAGCCCTGGTGAAATCCACTGCATTTAAGACCTATTTTCATATCTTGTCATCCAGCTTTTCTATCAGAAAGCACTCATCTTTAAGGGGCTCCACGTTGGTAACGAACCAGAGCGATGACTAGTAAGAGAAAATTTTACGATACCCATCAGTCCCCATGTGGTCTTCGCAGAAACAGAGCCAGTTACTATTTAACGTAGTTCAGCAAGGTTCTTGGTTTATAGGTGAAAGCAATAAACATATGGGGTTCTTTCCTTATTTATTCTTCAGAAACAGCAAAGGGGATTTTCATTAAGGGAATCCAATTCCAGTTTAAAGTTTTTGTCTGCAAAGTTCAACAGATAGTCTCAGTTTCAGAGTTCACTTTAATTGCCTCTAACCCTTTACTAATTAACTTAACTTCTTTCCTTCTAGAAGCCAGAAGGCTGTTGCTATTGTTTCTCCGCATTTCAGGATTTTGTCCTTTGCAAAATAATCTCAGAATGTATAGTAGAAGCTATTGATGCCCCAATCTACATCCCTCAGCCAAATGTCTGGATTCTCTGCAGCTGTATGACACACCCATGTCTTTCTACCTCAACCATCCATGCCTCTCTTCCTGCTTCTCTGCCTATGGACTTAATTGGCACTAGAGGAGTTTGCTCTGCCTGTATGCGTGGCAACCTAGAAGTGCCATGGGTTTAATTTCCGCAGCGGCAATGTTCAACCAATGAGAAACTGGAGCTGGTGCATAAACAGCCCAGCTTCCCTATCACTCTGTGGGTCACACTCCCAGAAGGACTGAGGTGGTAGTAACCTGCTACCTCATGCACACACCTTTCATTCCCTTTTCTACTTCACTCTTCACTCCCTTGCTGCATTTCTTGGGATCACCTCTCAAACTACCCAGGGCATGGTGACACGCATCTGTGGTCCCAGACACTCAAGAGGTTGAGGTGGGAGGATTGCTTGAAGCCAGGAGTTCTAGCCCAGCCTGGGCAATATAGCAAGACTCCTGTCTCTGAAAAAATAAAATACCTGTATCTACATCCTTTTCTCAGGATTAGCTTTTGGAGGAGCCTAAACTAAGGCTGTAAGCAGGGGAAGCTGAGAGCTCTCCCTAAAATGCACAAAACTCAGAGAAATTAAAGCAATAAAGTAACTCAATTTATGTGCAGATAAAAAGTGTCTGGGGGATGGCATTGTTCTGTCAGAGCTGGCAAGTTAAAATCGCAGTGAAATACAAAAAATGTGCACAGAAGAAAAAGAAAAATGTCCATCCAGATGTTGGTCTGTGTTTAAAGCCCAGAGAGGTGCAGTCTGGTCTTAGGCTTCTTCAGTGCCCTAGAATACTAGTCTGTCCTCACTCTGCTATAAGGACATCCAGACTGAGTAATTTATAAAGTAAAGAGGTTTAGTTAAGTTCAGCATGGCTGGGGAGGTCTCAGGAAACTTAGGATCTTGACAGAAGGGGAAGCAAACATGTCCTTCTTCACATGGCTGCAGCAAGGAGAAGTGAAGAGCAAAAGGGGGAAAAGCCCCTTATAAAACCATCAGATCTTGTGAGAACTCATTCACTATCCTAAGAGCAGCATGAGGGTAACCGCCCCCATGATTAAATTACCTCCCACCAGGTCCCACCCCCAACCCATGGGAATTACAATTCAAAATGAGATTTTGGGTGGGGACACAGCCAAACCATATCATCTGGCTTCTTCCACTCCCCAACTAGTTTCACCAGATCTTTTCTCTCTATAGGTGCCCCTTTCTCTGCCTGTTGTCTAAAAGGGATGAATATGGTCCCATCCTTATTATTTCAAGAACAATAGATTTGCATCAGACTTGTGTGCTTCTGAGAGTTGATGTTGAACCACTCTTGTGTTATAGCCCATATCCTCTTGGCCACATTTTTACAGACAGCAGTGTTGTGATACTGTCACTGTCAGCACCTTGCTTCAGGTGCAGCATTTATCTCTTGCTTCTCTGTTGTCATCTCTTAAGATGCCTTCTTCAAACTACTCAGCATTCTGTAGCAGGTGCAATCTTTAAAGTGCAAGGTCGTGTACACCTTCTGGGCCAACATGACCAATGGTACAAGAGAGCCAACGGATCATCTGTCCTCTCACTTGTCGTTCTGGTGGACGATTTTGAGGTGTATTCTGTGCAGTTTCTCAGAGTGTCCCCTGAGAACTGAGCCTCATTTGCTCACAGCATTGTTTAGATTAACACACTTTCTTGGTTTTACTTTTTCCTGCCCACCCTTGTGTCTAACCCAGCTTTCTGGGAAACCCTATGCTGCTTGGGTCCACATTTCCCTGTTTCTCCCTTACTAATGGCTCCTCACATACCCCTGGACCAGTTTTTCTGAGAGCAACATGTTCTTCATCTTGCCTTAGAATGAACAAAGGGCTAAAGGTTTAAAAATGAGAATCTTGCTGCTGACTAACTGCTCTGAATGCATTAACCACATGTAAAGTTATGAACAAATGTTTATAACTAATTTGTCGAATGCTTGTTGACATACTTGTTGACTTTGTTAAATTTTTAAAAACTTAATGAACATACTTGTTGAATTTTTGAGAACTCTAATTCTTTCTCAAAATTGGTCCTTCATTAATTTCCACTTTTCTCTGGATTGTACAGTATTTACAACTATGGCCATACATTTTTGGGGGTGATTATTGATTCAGAAAAAATGCTTATTAATATTTATGGCACTTAGGTAGGCACTATTAAGAATACAGAGTGACTAAAATGCAGTTGCTAAAATGTAAGGATAATCTATTGATGAAACAGGAAAAGCTTTACAGATAACCAATGCAAGTGCAATACAGAGCATGGTCAGTATAATACATAAAGTGTTTACATGATGTTATGGTGACAAGAGATGCCCATCTGGTCAGAAGCGTAGACTGCACACTGTTTCCCAGTTGGCTAACAAAGTATGCGCCCCTTGGGCTGTGCTGAGACTAGAAGGGCAATTGGCCAGTTTTTTGTCACAACGACAAAGATGTTTGTATTTGGTTGGCTAAGATATTTTAAAGAAACATTTTTCAATTTAGTTCTTGAGAACATTTTGATGGCTCTGGACATCTCAAACTCCAAAGACATTTCAACAAGTTTCAATGCTGTTTCAACAAATAGCATATTTCTCCTCTCCAAGGGTGAGCTTTTAAGAGTTATAGGGTCTACTTTTCCTGAGGTCGTGAAGTCCTAACACACGCACTTTTGAAGCATGATGACTCTTCATGCCTCCTGGGTATTTCTGCTTTTTTATGAGAATTTCATTGCTATTCATGTGAAGGTGACAGTTTGAATGACCTAGAAAGAACAAAACATAAAAGTAATGATTACATAATTCATGTCATTCCCAATTAACTATGTTTTATCTTCTAAGAGCTGCAGATGTTATATTACTCATAAAAGTCTGTTCATATATAATTTATGCCACATGAATAAATGTTTGTTAGCTTGAAACATGTAAGCAAATTCTCTATGTTTCTTTAAATTAAAAAAGCAGGTATGAGGGCATATTAACCATGCGCTTTTGATTTTCTATATTCTTAAGTCTTGACATCCAGGGCCTTGCTCCTGCCTCACAGGGTTCACTAATTCTTAGAGACAGTAAGTGAACAACTCTCCTGCTAGTAGCCCTTTCAAATGCAAACCAACCAACTCAGAGCCACAAACCCCAACCACTTCCTTATCAGGTGCTCAAATGCCAGTCTCTTCACCTGCCCAAATCTCCCCAGGTATCAGACAAGGAGGGACAAGACCTGTGCTTGATACCATTTTTATAAGATAAGCACATAATATTTCACAATAAGTCTAAGAAAAACTTGGAAAGAGCTCCGAACAGCGGTGACCTCAGGGCAAAGGATTAGAGAACAGATTTTTGAGTTCTTCCTTTCATAGGATTTTTTTTTTGTGAGAATATAGTACGTTATTACATTTTTCCACTTCAAATTTTGAAAAGTATGAAAAGAACTGGTGAAATTAGTTTACGTAAGCACATATTTCATAGCTTTATAAATATTTTTATAAATCCTCCAGAGTTTCAGTCTTCTTTCTAGAATAAAATGAATAAAATTAAAATTAAATCTTGTACTTACAAAATTGATAAATGGCATAAATTTGGTGAGAGGAGGAGTGTATTTATTATGGTACCAAGTTGGAAGGAAGGAAGAACATGGAATTCTACCATTCTCTAACATTGAGAAAAATGAGAAAATAAGAATACAGCCAGGATCATGATTCAAACAATTTAGTGACAGCCTTAAACAAAATTAAGAAGTGACCAAAATGAAGAAACAGAATGAAAAAGTGACCAAACTTGGTTAAACATTTGGATATTTTTAAGTATTCAAGTGGAATTATCTTTCTTTCTATCTCTTTTTTTTTTTGGAGGCAGAATCTCTCGCTCTGTTGCTGAGGCTGGAATGCAGTGGGTCAAACTTGGCTCACTGTAACTTCTGCCTCCCGGGTTCAAGTATTCTCCTGCCTCAGCCTCCCAAGTAGCTGGGAATACAGGCACCCACCACCACACTTGGCTAATTTTTTTTTTTTCGTATTTTGGTAGAGATGGGGTTTCATCATGTTAACCAGACTGGTCTCAAACTCCTGAGCTCAGGCAATCTACCCACCTTGGCTCCCAAAGTGCTAGGATTACAGGCGTGAGCCACTGCACCCGGCCTCAAGTGGTATTGTCTTTCAACCCTGCAACGTCCTGCTGTGGCTGCATGTGACTGTATGTGGAACGGGATGAGGCTTCCTATAAATGTGAGGCCCGAGCCCTGCCCCTCATCCTCCCCATGGCAGGCACTGATGGACGAGCCTCACTAATTCCTCCATCATTAAGAAACACCTAGTGGAAGCAGTCAGTTCACTGTACCATGCATGTGCTTAGAAA